TCTAATAAGGAAGTGTCAGCACTTTCTCCCACCCGAGGCCACGAATGATTAGTAACCATTGCATTGTTGATAACGTCACAATCAGCCGGGGCGGTGTCAGGAGGGTAAAATGAGCTCGCTCCCCGCTGTCTCGCTCGGTGGTCAGGAATTCGGTTAATATATTGCATGTACCTGCGGTGGGACAACACCCGTAAGCGGTTCCATCGAAATAACACTCGTAGTTTGTTGGGCACTCGTTCGAGTTGAGATGCATTGAACAGCGCTTGGACGCTATTCCATCCTTTAGCGATTCACCACGAGGGCAGCGCACCTCAGCTAAATTGGGGTGTACAAGAAAGTACAAATAAAGAGCAAATAGGGTTGAACAATATTTTTACTTCTTCTCACCTTGAACGCCATCGCAAGCATGTTGGCAGCTCTCTATAGTCAAGAAATTGTTCGAGTTGCCTTGGCACCCTTCAAATGCGAACGCTTGGCAGTTTGAGGATGAAGCATTATACCAGAATCGGTAGGAAGCTGAGGCATGACATTGGACTCCCTTCCTCAGAGGTAGATTGCACAGTTCAGCTATAACATTCGGAAGAGATGAGAAATTCGTTGAAGTTATCATACTCTAATTTACACGACGATTTTGTTAAGTGAACAAACCCGGCTTCGGACAACATCTTCCATGGTAGCAAGTATGAGTCGGTGGGCATTGATCAAAGGAGCTACAGGAAAGGAGTGTTCCGGACTGCGATCTCATTGGAAGACCAGCTGGACACATATCTAAACGGCGATTTAGAAGACTGTGAAAATGGGAGGGAAGGGGCGAGGATGAATGGGACGCCATACCCAGGCGATTGGGAAGGCGTGGCTGCGCAGCTCCTTTTAACATAGCTCTGTGAGATGCTATCATTTTGGACAAGTGTCATAAAGCTTTATGCCAAAGACCACCAGAAAATATTGCCACTTGAGCGCAGCTTGCGCCATGTTCAATGAAACACGCTCCATCTTGTCTCCCGTAATGAAAAGTGCTTCGAACAGCGTGTGGAGCCCATCACTTGGCAGAATAGCTCACAAGCGTGTGCGCACGCAACTACAGGGATTACGGGAAGGCGCGTGTGGATGAATTCACTCAGCATGGCAATGGCGCTGCGCGTTGATTGTATCCCCCAAGTTAACTCGTCTTGGGTAGTAACACTCCACGCTCCCTTCCACTCATTGTCAATTGGGCGGAGAAATTTCAAATTCCAGCCACAGCGTGAAAAAGAGGGAGAAATTCCTCTTTTCCCACGAAGTAATATGAAAAAAACCGACTACGACGTTGGCCAAAAACGCGATTCAACCGACATTTGATATCGTCGCAGTCAGACGGGACGGTGGCAGTAGGGGCGGAATGAGCCTGCGTCCTGCTGCTTTTCACCAGTAGTGATTGGTTAATGATTGATTTAGGAAGAAAACAGCCAGTGGTTAGAAGGTCAATGGTAGGCTCATTCCATGCCTCTTGACTCTGATTGCGACGAGACCAACCGTATGTGAATGTTAGGACTTTGCAGTCATGCGATTGCGTAAATGCGGATCAAAATCGCTTACCTGCCGAACAGAACTGACTACAATGATCCTTCGTTTGGAAATTGTTGAAGTTTCCCACCTTGTCCGAAGTAAGCGAACGGAAAGCATTCGTTTTTGTTGCGATCCCAGTACCATCTAAAATGAAATTATGGCGGTGTATTCAGCGCTGGATCAAATGGGCTGCGATAGGGAACAACGTCTCGAGCGTGCTTCACTCTTCCACTCCTTATCCCTGAGCCAGAGTAGGCGTGGCATTTGAACATGGCACGGAATTGGTTACTCGTGGAATATTCCAGTCTGGGACAACAGACATGACAACAATTGTGTCAAGATGAAAATATCTCACCAGAAGCATAGACACCCTTAGGTTAAGTTGAAGCATGCAGCCACGCCTAGGCGATCTCAGGGATTTCGAGTATATCCACCATAGAAAGAGGAGAGCATAAATAATGGACCTACTTTGGCTTTTGGTTCTCTGTCTCAGTCCATCATTTTATGGTTCAACATGCATAATTAGAAACAAAGAAAAACAAATATTGGGGAAAGAAATAGTACACTCCAAAGCACAGAATCTCTTCCACTCTCAAACTGAACTTTGAGAGTGGAAGAGATTTTTCTCCTTGTAGATCAGCAGAGGTTTTACTAAGTTTGACGTTCTGGTGAGCTATTTTGTGGTTTGCTGAATTTTTACCCACGTTTTTGTTGTGCAACGAATTTACTCCGAATCTTCATATGCCGTATTCTTCGATGATGCTAATAAAACGCGGTGGACGGGATGCCTTCTCTTAGCAATCAAGTTTATCAGTGCCAGTAGCAGTGTTTATACTGCTCTG